CACTCTGGTCTATGTAAATATTTAATGGCGATATATCTTAATGTGTATCTTGAATAAATTTAGCATCTTTTTTTCTTTTGTTTCACTGGTTTTGGATACGAATTCGGTTATCAGACGCTATGATTTTGTTTTTGTCAGTTCTTCATCCGATTCTTCATAACGTGGCATTTAATTATTTTCAAATCGCCTTGGAATTACACAGTTGGATCAACATTTGAACATTACACAGTTCGTTATCATTTGTAAGAAAATGATTTCCATATTTATTGGCTATTTGGAGCCTTTCTAGAATTGTACTTTGCATATTGTAGAACAACTTCATCCCTGCTATAAACTAACATGGAATAATATACATTCCCTGAATTACTATGTATGTACAGTGCATAGGTCCCACCCACATCGGTGAATAGGGGATCATTATACAGAAAAAATAGATTGGATTCTATTTTACTTCTCTAATTTGTTACTTAAACATGTTGAGTAGAATTTCGTCATTTTGTAAATTGCAATTGTTTGCTGTTACTTAATCGTTTACTTGCCACTTGCAATAATTTGGTCAACACACAAGAATAGGTGTGTTAAAGTAAAAAGAAAAAATACCTACTATAAAAAATAACCGGTTCGCTTCGTTGAACCGTGTTATTTCAAAATCGTGTAAAAAGAGAATAGTGTACAGACACACACACACACACATATATATATATATATATCTCCAAGTAATTACAAGTTTTAAAACTATTTATTTTATATTTAACACTATCATTTTAAAACCATTTATTTTAAATTTAACGTCATCACTTGATAAGACACCGGAGGTGTTGAAACAAAATGGCTATTTTTGTAGTGATTTTATAAAATATTTGTTATATATATATATATATATATATATATAATGTAAAACCGCTTCATTTAAACTATATTTGATTGCGCGTTTCGCCTATCTATGATTCACTAGATAAAAAAACTAATGTGTTTGTGTGTATATAAGTATATATTGTGTGTAATTAATTTCTCTCTCTCTCTCTCTATATATATATATATATATATATATATATATATAATCTGTGTATATCCTATTCCATTGTCAACACGGAAAAACACGTGGACGGAACTAAAAGCTCAAATCTTACTTTCAACCCATTCTGAAAAGTAAGATGAGGCTTTACTTTAAATTCAAAACAAATGCTGGGAGAATCTATAGGTAACTTTCGACATCAAGTAAGAATTATACAGAAAAGTTATAGAATAAATAATAACGTCACTCATTTTCTTTCACCCGCCAGCTTAGCGGAAAAATAACAAGTATATAGTATTTAAGCATACGCACAAATCTACACACACATATTTCCTTTCGTTTTTTTGATCTGACGCCTAGAGGGGCGAATCGCGTAATCATATCTAATTTCACTGGAGCGGTTTTCTATTTGTCATATTTCTTCAAAACTTTGTCAGCATTCTCTATCATATTTTCTAAACACAAACACACACACACACACACACACACACACATATATGTCTGTGTGTGTGTGTAGCACACAATAGCGAGTGCTGGTGGTAATAATACCTTGCCTGTATGGTACAGATAAAAAAAAAACTAAACGTAGTATGGATCGCGGTTCGAACTGAAGAATCTGAGATCCAAGTTCGATTTTCAATCGAGGTCCTTATATTCACTTAGGTACAAATAGTCTTTGGATAAGTATGAATCCATCTCTTTCCCTTCCAACTATGAATAAATAACCAGGATAGACTAAGTGCAGTAGATATGGGTAGCAACTGGCCTAGGAGAAGGTAAATTTGAATTTACAAGCGTCAAACTATGGGTTAAAGAGCCTCACAAATCCGTAATTCGCCAAGCGTGGTGAGTACGACTGCAACTCTGAAGACACGGTAAGGCAGGAAGGGCTTTCTCTAAGGATTGAAAAACCTCTACATCAGAATCAGGCTATAAATATTGACGTATTGCAAGGGTCATTTTTTTATGTGTTTGACGATTACTACGTAAATGAAACTGAGCTGAATCGAACGGTGAGAAAGACATGTTTTATTAGAGGGGAAAATGATCAATGGTGTAAATAGTATATTTTTTTTAAAATATCGACATCTTCACTGCCTGCCAAAGCTTGGTATAAAAATCGCGTTGAGGCGTTAAGCTAACAATTTATCAAGAAATGTTGATTCCTATGTCACCACTACATATCGATTTATTTCACACGTGTATATATAATTAATACGATAAAACTTATTTAACTGAATGGTGTTTGTTCAGTCATGACGACTTCGAAGTTTCGTGAGATAAGAAATAATACAATGAAAGCATTAGTGTTGTGTACTAACGAAACTTCGAAGTTGGCATGACTGGAGCAACGCAGTTAAGTGCTAAGTTTCTCTACATTAATTCGATTAACACTATCTTTACCTTTTGATATCGAGCACTCTGTCAAAAAACTGCCTGCCTAAAATGCTTTCCCACCAGTAAACTACGCAAAAAGAACCAGAAATATTAACACCAATATCCCTTACAACTTAATACTACTACCACACACACACACACACATTACATTGTATAACTAATACATTATGCTCTAAGTTTTTACGTGTTTCCGCTATAAATCCTGAAATTTGAAATATATAAACTGGGTGTTTTTCATATATCAAGTAAAATGCGACGTTAAATAAATACCTACTTTTATCATACTTATCACACTTAGTGGTTCCCGCTTGATCAATATAAATAATTTGTATCTTCAGCTTAAGAATTAACATGTTTTAATCATGACCTATCTGACCTTTTTGCTGACCGCCTTTGTAAATGTTTCTTCGTTTGCGTGCTATGTCTTTTCAGGGCGTGGCCGATCATGTCTCTCCATAACTTCATGTAATTTATGTTTCTTAGTAACTGGTGACCATTTGTCATCAGTCTTTGATTTTTTTAACATCCATTCAGTCAAACACTATAGATTCTTTTTTTGTTTCTCTTTAATTCACTGGCTTTGAGCGAGTGTTAGATTCCATAGGCTCACTCGTTTTCATTGTCTTTGAAATTTCAACCATTTGTTTTCTGATTGTAAAAGCCAGGTTACTTCGAGCCCCCTTTCACGCTCGGAAACTACAACTTCCCGCTTCTGGTACAGTTTTCCCCTTCTGAGCACCCCCCCCTCTACCACTCTTTACAGTTGGAGATGCTTTCTCTCAGCTTTCCTTTGAGAGACCCCTGAGACATCGTCAATCCGTGACTCAAGAATTGAGAGGTCTCTTGATCTGCATCAGGCTATAAATTGTGGGGTAGAGGAAAAAGTCCCTCACGGTTCGGTGCAACTCAGTTTTATGTACGTAGTAATCGTGAAACTCGAATTAAAAACTGATGTTGCAATACCCTTTTTTCTCAAGACTCACAAGTTCTTCACACGTTCTCTTTAATTGAATTTTATGCCTTCGCGAGAACCATATCTCGATCCCTATAAGTGTCTTCTTAATCTGCGAAGAGATTGTCCAGTATGTTAAAATACCATTGTCTGACTTAAAGTAGAATTTACTCCAGTTTGTGCGTAAACCAAAATACTAAATATATTAGCAAGTTTACTATTTCCACGGATTTTCATTCCAATTTCAATAAAATGGTAAAATAAAGTGTTGAATATATGGCTGGAAGACAGGAAGTAATATTGATATTTCATACAAATAAAAGAAAACTGTTGACTTCAAGTGTGATTAACTTATACCTGTTGTCTATATAAGCTGGCCACTGTTGTTTTTTGCACATAAATCCCTTCATTAGAAAATGCTCAACGTTGTAAAAGGACATTTCCGGCGTAACGTTATGTATTGCTGGTACGAATGAGCAACGCGTACTTCGACGTGGTTAGCAAGTTTGTCTTGCTTGAACAATTACGACTGAATAATCAGTTTGATCCTCACTGGGTGCTCCATACTTTCGGTCTTGTGCCACATCTAAGCTACGCTTAAAATATCATCATGAATACTTTACTTCAACAGGGGTTTTCTAAGCATAGCTTAGATGTGGCACAAGGACGAAAGTATGGAGCACCCAGTGAGTTTCTAAATGACTATTCAGTCATAAATGTTCTAGCGAGACGAGCTTGATAACATTACAACCACGATAAAAATACCCGAAAATTTTAATGTAATAATCTGACACGAAGTAATCATGAATATTTTCAATAATCCATCATCAGAATCATTGTTTAATTAGGAGAAACCGTCGAAAATCGTCTGCATTTCTCACGATTGACAGACAAATTCACTAGATAGTTACGGGTAACACTAAGTACACTAATGGTTTAATATACATTTATACTGATGTTTGTGTAAGAGATGCGAGAGAGGTATGCGGGTATTGAATGATTACCTCTCTTCTGTTAAGCAAATTGATATCCCAGTAGCGAATAAACGCGGCTATGTAATATCTTTCAAAAATATATGAGTCGACATGGAAAAGTAACTTCAGTTTAATCTTTACCCCAAGATGCCAATCTGGTAGCCTGAACTCTATTGCAATTCCTCTCTACATATACATCCCAGATAATGGTAAGGCGTTACTGGCAGTGGAGTCTTCATCTTGCAGAAATATTTCCCACCTAATGGTAAGACATTAGGTATTTCTGTCGCATCCTTTAGTTCGTTCAACAGGATTTTTTTCTGATTCTTTAATAGTTTTACAGATAAAAACGTGGAAGAGAAAATATTTGTCATTTCGAACAAAATGCATTAATATTGATTATAAAAGAAAGTCGGTGACCATTCTTCTCTTGACCTTGCGCTACAAATATCTTTTTTTTTTTTTTTTTTTTAGAATAACGATTGCCTATTGAAAATGATAATCAGGTTTCGCTCTCAAACATTGTCATCCTAATTTTTTTCTCTCTCTCTCTCTCATGTCTAATTTATCTCTCGTCTAATTTCTCTTTCTCTCTCTCTAGTCTAATTTCTCTCTCTCTAGTCTAATTTCTCTCTCTCTAGTCTAATTTCTCTCTCTCTAGTCTAATTTCTCTCTCTCTCTCTCTCTCTAGTCTAATTTTTCTCTCTCTCTCTCTCTCTAATTTTTCTCTCTCTCTCTCTCTCTAGTCTAATTTTTCTCTCTCTCTCTCTCGTCTAATTTTTCTCTCTCGTCTAATTTTTCTCTCTCGTCTAATTTTTCTCTCTCTCTCGTCTAATTTCTCTCTCTCTCTCTCTCTAGTCTAATTTTTCTCTCTCTCTCTAGTCTAATTTCTCTCTCTCTCTCTCTCTCTCTCTAGTCTAATTTCCCTCTCTCAAGTCTTTCATTCATAGCTGTATAAATTTGCTAATTCCCCAATCAATTTATATGAGAAGTATGTAAAGACTTTCAGGCAATATTTTTCTGAGCGCTTATTAAAAGGAATAGTAGCAAAAATGAAAAGTAAATTAGTTGATAGTTTTAAATGTTCATTAGTAGAGGGATACAATAAATGATAAGTTGTTCAAGTTTTGACCTGTAAAGATTTGACAGGTTATTCGTAGCAGCAATCTTTCTTCGACGAAGTCTTCATCTGCGTTTTAGTAGTTGCAGAACAACAAATGCCAGAAACATTCTCGTCTGGTGACCAAAGTAGTTGGTTCTCCTTGTGTTGCTTTGGTGTCTCAAGTTGCCGCATTCATTTAATAGGTGAAAGGATATGCTTGACTCAATCTGCTTGTCTAACCCCTGACGAATGATTTTTAACCGGCTGAGAACCTTTTGTTTTATATTTAGGTCTGACAGGTCTAAGGGACGTTTAAAATTATCATTCGTTTCAAATTCCGTTGTTTTAATTATTGGAAAATAATACAAAAGATAAGTTTCCTTCTCAGTCTTTTCTTTTTTCCAGAACATTAGATTTTTATACCCGTGAGATGGACACTGAGTCGCCATTAACAGGCTCAGAACCAAGGTTTTTCAAGAAAAGTCCCATCTTGGCTCTTGAGTGGTGGGAAGAGGTGTATTTTTAACATAAATCTTTATAGAAGACATGGATTTATATATCTCACGTTGACTGCTGACCTGAGATGGAATAAATACACTGAGTAAATTGCCTCGTCCACCGCAAGGAAAGTTGGCTCCCAGAGCCGCGCCAGGAAGTTTTTCTCCCCGGAGTCGATCCTCCAGATCTACAAATCAACAATTCGCCTTTTCATGGAGTATTGCTGCCATATATGGTCTGGTGCCCCTTCTGTTTGCCTCAGGGTTCTTGATAGGCTCCAGAGGCGGATATGCAATGTGGTTGGCCCTGCCCAGGCGTCTCGTCTACAGTCACTTTCTCACAGACGCGCCGTCACCTCCCTCTGCCTGTTCTACAAATACTTTCATGGAAATTGCTCTGAGGAGCTGCATTCGCTGGTTCCCAGACTTCATGAGTTCCATCGCCTTACGAGGCTGGCATCCCGCTCTCACCCCTTCACTGTCGAAACTCCTAAATGCAGCTGTCTCTTCTACTCCAATAGCTTCATGTCTCGCACCTCTCGCCTGTGGAACTCCCTTCCCTATTCCTGTTTCCCTGTGAGCTATAATCTTCAGCTATTCAAGTGTAATGTTAGGTACCTCCACGAAATCGCTAAAAAAGAGCATAGCTTGATGAAAAAGACGCCAACCTTGCCGAAAACAAAATTTTATTGTCTAAATGCTTATGTTATTATTTAGAGGAAAGACCAAAGTTTTTTTAATTATTTTTAAAAATTTTTCCTTCTTTTTAGAAAATTCTAAATTTTGATTAAAAAAAACCTTTTTTCTATTTGTATCAGCGGAACTAGTAAATAACATAGACAATTTTTAGCACGTTTTTTTTGGTATGACACACATTAATTTGAAAAATCGTGCAAAAATAGAAAGAATTATCGGATGTTAATGAAACTTTCAGAAACTATTCACAGATGATCGAAATTATTATAAATGTTTTTTTTTATGAAAGTCATGGTAGAAATATTTTTTAAAAAGATTTATTCCCCCCCCCATAACTAATTTTATGAAAACGCTAGAAATTCGATCGCATCGGTTTTAGTGATTACAATAATTAAAAGCACAGGGCTTTGAGGAATGCAAATCATGTTTTTTTTTTGTTTTTAATTGGATACGCAATACCTGAAAATCAGCTCTGAATTGTAACATACAAAACTCAATAAAACAAAGATATTATTTAATTTCAAATGCTTTTATTTGCTTTTAGTTGTTTTTATGAATATGGACAATATTTTCTGAAAGCAAAAAAAAAATTTCGATGAAAAATGAATTTTTAATACAATTATTTGTTATTTCATTAATTATAATAGATTTTACATTTAAGTTGTTAAAATTATTAAAAAAATTAGTTAAAAAGCCACGGAGGCTTTCATAAAGTGTCCTTATGAAATAGATCTTTTTTTAGCGCGTTGTAAATTGTATCATTTTGACTAATCAGAAGATCCCCAGTAATTAAGAAATGTAATTTTGTGCTTATAATCGAGCTGTAATTATAAAATACGGAAGACCAACCAGAATATAATTAAGTTCTGTTATTTGAGTTAAGCATTGTTCTCCGCTGTTAAGGCCTTTACTTTTGCGAAACACGTGTGGAGAAGTTAATTTGATTTTCAATTTCAACTGAGAAGGTTACCTACAAGTATCAGTATCATCTTATGAAATTTATATGATCTTATTTTTATATTAATCTCAGTTACGACATTTTTCCATAAATGAAATATCAAAATTAATAATAAAATGAATGCAAATACAAATAACAGTAGAATGTAATAAATGTACATAAAATTATAGTATTTTATGTACAATTCTGATAAAATTTCATAAGAAAGGTACCTATAAATTAATTAGATACCTTTCTTAAGAAATATGAAATTTAATGTCACTCTTAACAGTTTTATTTTAATTTCTTTAGAATATATTTCCCATAAAGCATCATAAACGTAAAGGTGAAAGCTAAGTACAAAAAAAAAAAAAAAAAATTAGACCGCTGAAAGTTTTCGTTAAAAATAACGGGGTAAATAATTTGTTCGCGTAAATGTAAATTATTTCACTTTTCTCCTTCCGTAGAACAAATTAGCCTCATGGAATTCGTAAATATATCATTCATCACATGTCAAGAGACGCGAAAGTTTATGACCTGCTTTGTTTTATTTTCAAATTACATCTTTTTTGGCACAAAAGCTAAAGTTAAGTTTGGTTCAAAATATTTTAAATAAACATTATAATTTCTGATTTTCTTAAAATAAGTTTTGAAAAAATGATAATTGATATTTAAAAAAATTTCAAAGTCAGATTTCCAGTTTTTTTTAAATGGAAAAAAATGGTCAATTTTGCTGACTCAAAAAAAACTAGATTTTTAACGAAAATTTCGGACGTGCTAGGAACGATTAAAAAATGGAAAAAAATACCCCAAAAATACCTTGACCTTTCCTCTTAATGAATAAAAAACATTTAGACGATAAAATTTGTTTTCGTCAAGTTTGGCGTCTTTTTCATCATGCTATGCTCTTTTTTTAGCGATCTCGTGGAGGTACCTATGTAATGTCAATCGACATCTCCAGTTGCCTTGATCTATCCACTACCCTCATCCTTTCTTCTATCTGATATTGCTCTAAACTTTCTGTAACCCCTTGCGTGCTAGTGGTTTCCCGCCTTGCTTGGGGTGAAATGCTTAAAAAATATATATATATCTCAAGAGCATTTGTGAGAAAGTGCCTCAACGAAATTTGAAATCGGGTCGTCGATCATACTTTCATCGTTAGCCCTAACGCAACGCGCACATCTTAGTATATATGCACGTCTCACAATCAGAATTATTTTGCATTAACTCAGCATTTGCCGTTTTATCTGCCCACTTCAAGGCTAATAAAATGTCAGTTATAGATCACCATCTTCAGCCGACATAAAATATTTACAGTTTTTCCTGCTATTGAAGTGACTTTATAACCAGTAATTAAATATGTATGGCCGTTAAGTTCTGAAAATCGCTGTCGGAGCTGATTTCAGACAAGGTTCATTAGATTATAAAGTACATGCATTAAAAAAATGTATCCACGACTTATCTCTATAACCAGTCCTAAATTACAATCTTTGATTAGCCATGTTCAGTAAGTAAGCACACTACAGGAAAGGAAAAACTTTTCGCACTTTTATCAAATTGCGATAACACTGTTTACTGCAGTACAATATTTTCTCCACAGATGGTATTACATAAGCTGTCTTTAGACAAGAAATTGAAAATGCATGTGCAGCAATCCCACTGGACAATTCGACCTACATTGCTTCGCCGTACTAATAATGGTCTGGAATCTAAAAGCCACCATTTTGAGCACATCCTTTAACTGTAACTTCCAAAGGTAACTTATAGTAATCTCATGATATCTGAATAAATTTAGTATTACAATAACTATACAAGTTTTTCTTTCGCTGAAGTGCGTATACATATTTCTCTGTGTGTGAACATATATATTGCACACAAAGTTCTGGTCTTATTGAAACAGTGCTTGATGTTAGATAATAGCTATGAAATAATACGCACACACGAACTTTCGGGATAAAACTGAGACATTACTCTATTGAACAATTTAGTTCATGCCACATTGACTGATAAATTCCTACAATAAAAAGATTCTCAAATTACCATATTAGTAAAAAAAAAAAAACGCCCTCTCTTAAATTTTCAAAAAAATTCAACCTTAGCGTTGCGACTGCACGCTCCAAAAATTTCTATCCGTTATCAATAACACATTTAAAAAAAAACATATTTCGATTCGCATTAATCTTTTCGTCTCGGATGCTACCTAAATTTTACCAAAAATAAAATAATTTCCATGCCTGAAGATGACTGGATATACAATCGAAAGTACTTGTGTATTAAAGAAAGATATTATACAACATGTAATTTGAAAAAAAAAAACAAGGATCATAACATCGAGTTATTGGTAGGTTAATACAGCTTTAAAATTTTGGTAGCGAAGGGATTTCGCCATTTTATATCCTTAACTTTACTAATTTACTTTTTGTAGGAATGATTCATTATAATATATACAGATATTTTCTGATCTCTGAGATCAGGTATTGTGATAATTTACATTATTCGGACTGTTAACTTCGG